AAAAAAAGAAGCACTTTCTGTCATCTTCCATCGAGGATCCGGCCTGGATTCTTGCGAGATCCGCTGCATATGCACTCATCTCTCTGCTCTTTTAAATTCTGAGAGTCCCAGCTTCTGTTAGTTACGCAAAATAAGCACAAATGCTAGTTGAGGCTAAATACCTTGGTCTTTTGGAGCTATTCATTTTCCATACCTTTCCTCCTTAACTTAATAGGACTTTGCTATATTCTTACAATACTATTTGGTACCACGCTATACACATTCACGCTGTCTCTCTAGATGTTTGTAAACGCTGATTATGGCTCTTCTGTCTACCTGGACTATGTATATCTTGTTTAATCTTCTGTTTTTCTTCAGAAGCCAGTTTTTGTTTTTTGGCTAATCTGTGGGTTTTTTTTCTTTTTTTCCCTAAACTCCATAAAAGTTTAACTTTTTTTTATTTAAGGCTGTTGGTTTTAGAGACTACATTTGCTTATGGTGTTTTAGAATCCCCTGTTTAGTTTCTCAACTGAGGTTTCATGTTCTCTTGCAGCAGAGCTTCCACCTCCATATACTGCAATTGCAAGTCCAGATGCCAGTGGTGTTCCTGTAATAAACTGCCGTGTATGCCAATCACTAATCAATTTGGATGGCAAGCTACACCAACATGTTGTTAAGTGCACAGTCTGCAACGAAGCTACGGTAAAAATGGATTTTTACCATTTTCTTTTTGTGGAAGAAAGGGGGAAAGGTAGAACTGTAGAGTTGTTGGAATTCATGTCCTTGCATGCAAAGGGTGAGTCACTGACATCCCTACAAAGGATCTGTCAGTACAGCTGTTAGTGTGCTAGCATACAAGTTCAAGGATTGTTAGCACAAGGATGATCATAAGTGGCTAGAATAAATCTTCATATTATTGAGTTTACTAGTTGAAATGTTGCATGCTGAGGCAGAGGATAAAAAACAAAGTTTTAAAATAATTGCTCATGTGTACAGAAAGGTGAAAGAAATAAAGAATTTAATTATTTTAAGAGTAGAAGAAACTAAAGTGCCTAACCCATGCATGTTCCCCTGGATCTGTGCCTTTCTTACGAAATATGTTCAATCAATTTGTCAGCATGCTAACAAACCATAGCATGATAATTTTGCAACATAGGAATTGTAGGTTCTGTTCCACATACTGCAGTGATTTCCCCTCCCCCCCCAACCCTTTCTTAATTCAAGTGTTTAGTTCTTGAGATCCCTGTAGTTTTTCTGCCTGACAATTTTAGTTTGGAGATCTGATACTGCAGAGGCCCACAGCTACTTGTGGGCGTTTACATGGAAAATACTGGATTGGAATTTATGGGAGGGGGAAGGGGCGAGGGGAAACACTGTTGTCCAAAGAACAGGAAGATCTGTAAATCTGTAGGAAAACATTTTTCACTTAAAAGAGAAGTGAGAGTAGATAACTTTCTTTGCCTGCATATAATGTTTCAGGCCAAACAAAGGATTGTCCAGCTTTTGAGACTTGTGATTTTCTGTTTGAAAAGAACCCAGAAACTTGACTGCCAGCTTTGAGGAAGATAATTTCAGTACAGTTTAAAATAAGATGACAGTTCAGCAATGGCTGCCTATTCTCTTAGTAACTGTGAGCCAGACTTTGATTCTTTCATTTCTGAATAAAGCCATTGTACCAGACAAGGAGGCTTTCTTGATATTTTAACTGTTTTTTGAAAAATGTACAACTGGTTAAGCTTACGTTTGAAAAAAAGAGCTATACAGAAGACTTGAATTCTTTATTGCTAAAATAGGAATGCCTTTTCCATTAGTTTACGGAATCTTTTGTTTGTTGTCAAAGATGTTCTGGTGAGAAAATATGCATCATCTTTTTCTTTCTTTGGGGGGAGAGAGAGAACTTTCAAGTTTGACTTGACTCTCAAGTTTCCTTCTGTAAGAACTGTATTTCCCTGTTAATATAAATTTGTCGTGTAAATTGTAGTGTTTTGTTTCTACCCCCCTCCCATAAAAGTATAAAAAGTGAATTGCTGTGACTTACTATGTATGTTATGTGATTTTTTTTTTTTTTCATTTAGCCAATCAAAAACCCTCCTTCAGGAAAGAAGTATGTTAGATGTCAGTGTAATTGTCTTCTTATCTGTAAGGATACATCTCGGAAAATAGGCTGTCCACGACCCAACTGGTAAGAGTAAACAGACTCTAAGTGCTTTAAGACCGTTTTCTTTAAAGCAATGGCACACCATCATGCATTGAGTATTTAAAACTAAAGAGATTCGAGCCTGGGCAGAGCTGTGCATAAACTTACAGAGCATTGGTGAATTACTGCATAGACAGGTAGTGGTAGTGTCATTTTGATTTTTTAGATTGACTTGCTCAAAGATTAAAAGGTTAACTGCTTTTCTGTTGTATTTAGTGACAATCTTTATGGTGTATTTCTCATGTATTAGATATTGTATAAGGAACACATGATATAAAGAGTAACAGAGAAGAAAACCACTTCTCACTTCTGGGGGGTAGCATTCATAATATCCTACAGACTTCATTGTTGTAAATACACAGATTCCTCTCTTTACCTGATTCAAAATAAGGATTTCAGAATGAAATGAGGGAAGGGGCAATAGGCTGGCTTCTTTCCTGTCCTCCCCTCTTTGTTACCCTGAGGTAACATCTTTCCTCCCAACTCTCTTTCTTTAGATTGCACATTGTCTGTAACAAGAGATGAGCATGATTGCCATAGTGAGCATTCTTACCATGGGGTTTATATCATTGAAGATCCTACTGAGCTAGGAGTAATTCGGTTCTAAGGGGTGCAGCACTAACAGGAGAAACCAAAGTGAAGGCTGGACGTGCAGATACTTGAGTGGAAGCTCTAACACATTGTGTGCCATAGCCCCCAGCCTGCTAGCTCTTTTGTTTTGGATCATCGTGGGTGATTTGGGGCTAGGGAGTGGGGAGGATTTTTTTTTACTAATGCAGTATTTGGAAAACTTATAAATTAAAAAATTGTAAATATCTTCTCAAAAAATGTTCATGGGATTCTTCAGTTGTAATACATGATACAGTTGGTAACCAGGCTGAATCTGAAGCTCCCTAGTTCTAATAAAATGTTTCCTGAAAGTATGGGTGTCTTCAGCAGCTTCCCTAAGATAGCCTACATATCTCTCTTACTGGAAGATGAGCAAAATCATAGTACTTTAGAGGAGAGGGTTGAGGAGTATGCCCTGAAGGGAAGGCTTCAGTTTGAAGGGAGGCCTCACAGGCCACATTTTTTGCTCTAGATGAGAAGAGATGCAGTGCAATTTAAACAATACTTTTAGTTTTCCCTTCACTTATTTCATATCGGGAAGTCTGATCCTCATTCTGCTTTGCATTGTTTAATTTGCCCACTGTCATTTTTCATAGACAAATCATATGATTAAGTTGGAAACACATTGAACATAAAAATGAATAGTTAAAAATTTATTTTTTTTCTTAAAGTAAATTGACTGCTTGTGTTTAGTCAAACCTAGATGCTTTTCTTTGATCCACTCTATTTGAATGGAAATTTTACTATAAAAATGCAAGGAAACTGCTTATTTGGCTTGTTGTTAGTAATGTGGGAAGAAGCAATACCTGGCTTGGGAAAGAGAAGTAGGTTATGAAAGAATTCTCACTCTTCCTACTTATTTCCATATAGATGTGTGCATTTCAATTCACAGCCTTGCTCAGCCTGGGTATTAAAATTTTCCTACGGTGTTCCTGCCATATGATTGCGAGTCTTTGATCTCTGCAGGATCTACAGGGATCTGGCATGCATGGATGATCTTATAAGGAAAGAAAATGTTTTCAAAGTGGAAAAAGAAAACACTTACAATGAGAGAGGCCAAAACTGGGTGCATCATCTACTTAAATTATAATCTAATTTTTAGAAGTGTAACACATTTGGTAGTGACTGGCTGAGCTAATTGCTTAAATGCATCATCCTTTCCCTTTGCTAGCTTAATTGCATGTAAATCTAATGTTCTTAACACAGTAGGCGCATCATTACGCTGGGTCCAGTAATGCTGATTCCAGAAGAGCAGCCAGCTCAGCCTGCCTTGCCAGTTCAACCAGATGGAACTAGAGTGGTATGTGGGCACTGTGGAAATACGTTCCTTGTAAGTACCAGAGTCTCCTCCTCACCTAAATGTGCTATCACTCCAACTATTGTAAGCACTTCTAAGAGCATATCGCCTCACTCTACGGTATTGTCAAGGAACTAAAGCTCCTTCTTTGCTGATATTGCCATGGATGTATTTCATTATCTCCACCGCATTTTCAAGGAAACATCTGATGTTCCTTTCATATTGATGGATGGAAGGTCAAAGGCAGAGTTATTTCTTAGAGATGTGGGAGTGGACGGTAATGGAGAATATGCTTCTAGGTTCTATTTTGACTTGCAATGATAGTCATATTTTGCAGTGGCTAAGGTGGTACAGGTTCTGCCATTGCTTTATGGACCCCTGGAAGCTGTTCCTCTTAGCTCTTCCTATTAGCGTATTGGTCAGCTGTTATGGGACTGGAGATGTTGGTTTATATCTGAGGTTGAAAGTTTCATCCCCTTTGGTAGCAGAGAATGCAAAAATACTGTTTTGCTGTAAGCCATTTTTGAAGCTCTTTACATAAACAAGGGGCTGCCATATTTGAATTTTGCAGTATGTGAGACAGTACGTTGGCTTCAACTTCATCATTCGCCAGTTTGTTAGTTTTAAGAAACGGGGCTAACGCAAGTGGTACAGCTGATTGACCAGTGTAGTCATTAGTGTTGTTATGTTCCTGGAGCAAAGGCTTGGAAGATATGTAAGGGCCAAGATGACTCAAGGACATCTCATGAAAGGAGGTAAAGGTGGTACTGCATGTTGGCTTATATCCATAGTGAGACAAGGGTTTGCTTGTGATGGGTTTTATAATGGAATAGGCTTGCTCCTTGAAATCTTGCGTCACATTCATGGATCAGTTAAATGGATAATAGCTTAACTACTACAGTAGATGAAGAATGTAGGGAGTAGAAGGTGGCTTTGATGTGTTTTTGAAGGAGAATAGCGACTTGATTTGTGAATTTACATATAGCATTTGAAAAACCATTAGACGCTTGAGAAACATTTCTTTCCATTAATTCTGCCCATATATAAACCTATTATATTTAATCCTAATATAATCCTTGCTGAAAAACAGAAGTGCGTAACTAGAGCTGGAGCTGTGTGTGTGTGGTTTGTTTGTTTTTATAGCACGTTACAAACTGTTGGGCATCCAGATGAACACTGTAGTCTGGTACAAAGTTGTAATTGAATTTTGTAACACAATTATAGTGTTTAGCAGTGCTTTAAAACTGCACAGGCAAAAGCAATACTCTACAAGAGGTTACGGTATTAAGTTTTAAAGTGTTCTCTTAACACAAAAGAGCATCTCTACTACATGGTCTAACCTAAAAATCTTTTATTAGGAAGAGTTAGCATTACAACATCAAATTCTCCTTACTAAACTCTTGGTCTATTTTTGCGTACTCTCATAAACGTGGATGTTTTATGTATCTTAGTCCCCCTATTCTGTTTCTGTAAGTGTAGACCAAGCTAATTCTGTAGTTTGCAGTATGAATTTCCTTAGATGGGATTCTGCTGTGAAAAGTTAGGGTAATATAAGAAAAAATATAAAGGCTATTTTTTGACTGTAACTACCAGATTGTGCCCTAAGAAGCTAAGTTTTCTAATTGTTATTTGTACATGTGACTTCAGATTTGATGGCTCTGTTAGGGAACTGCATCATTTGGAACTTCGTAGACCCATCTGCCAGTAAGACTGATTTACAGTTTCATAGTACATTAAAAAGAAATCATCAGTATCTTAAAAAAATTTTGAAACTTGTATTCTCTTACGCTGAACTATCAGGAGAAGAGACCTTTTTCTTTCTTTTGTTTGATAGACCTTTACCACCATTCTTAGTAACAGAAAAAGCTAGAAACAAAGTTGTATTAGATGCTGGAAATAAAAATTTTAATAAGAGAAATCACTAAATTGCTTGGATTTGAGAGCAGGCAGAGAAGTAGCAAAAAATAGAGAAGTGCTTTAGCCTATGTAGAAACTCAAGTTTTGTGAGGATATTTCTGCACTTCAGTATCTCAGCATTATATTTTTGCTTTATCATGCAAGGTGTATCTCTCAGTGACTCAGTAAGGTATTTCCTTTACTTCACTTGCCAGTTTGAAAAACGGGGAGGGATAGAGAGAAGAAAAAGCTAGAATAGCTGGGGGAGAAAACGCCAAATTGTCTGTTACTTGTTCTGTGTTGTCTCCTAACAGTATCTATTTGTCTACCTCATTTAAAGAAACTGCATGGTATAAAAAAGTATAATTATGGACTGGGCTTTCTCTGCGCCTACAGATGTGAGGGATGCTTGTTCTGTTTTTATGCCTTTCTTGTTCTGAAAGGCAACTTTAGTGTTATCCCCTGATACCTGTTGTTTGCAGATTAGCCAAAGCACTCTGATTGCTATGGAGCATCATTAAGTACTACTTAAATAACTACTTAAATATGTGGTCTTTTGGACAGGTTATATGCTAGAATGTTTTGTGTAATTATACATAGCAGACAGAAGATGTAAGCAAATGTAGAAATAACTTAAGTGCAGCTGTAGTATCACTTCAGTCCTGTCATTAATTACTGGCATTCTTGTTCATTAGACTTTTATCTTGGATAACCTGATAGCCTTTTCTGTGTTTAGGTTTCCATTGTTTCTGGCCGATTTGGGGTTCAGATAAATGGAAAATGGTAGAACAGAAAAAGAGGCCAAGGTGGTAAATTAACTCTCATGAGAAGCTGCATTCTGATCTGGTTTGGGCTTTTTTAAAAAGATCTTCTGGACCTGGACTGTGGCTGAGTTAATGTTTTAGCTAGTAGTAAGTCATTCCCCTACCCCCACTCCCAAGGGCCTTTGCCTGTGCTGGTTTGTGGCTGTGAGAGGGATGAGACTGAGCTGCCTTT